GCCACACTGGCCGGTGGGTGTGCTGTGGAGTGGGCGTGGGGAGGCCCTGTCCTGGAGTGCCACACTGGCCCGTGGGGTGTGCTGTCAAGAATCCTGGGGCCTGAGGGACAAGGGTTAAGTGGCAGGTGAGGGTGGGGGCGCCCTGGGCTCTCGGGTGGCCCCTCTCCCTCATGGGCCCTGCCGGGGTGTGCCACTCCCCCCCAGTCAAGAGCAGGCCAGGTCCCACGGTTTTCACGGCTGGTGGGTGGTGACACCATGGTGAAGTGTCTGTCCTGAATGAGGTGGTGGATCAGATGGTCATCAACCCAGAAGTGACTGGGTCCCCTTGGCCTCAGGCAGCCCTGACCCTGCCCCCTCCACTGTCATCCAGGGGTCTAGCTGCAGTGGTGGGCAGTCCCAGAGACGGGCCCGTGCTGCAGCTCGGGGACACAGCTGCCCGAGGGCCAGGGAGAGCGTGAGCAGGTCCCAGGAGGCCAGCCCCCGCCTGGGCTGACGTCATGGCAGAGGTCCAGAGTCAGGGTGGCCAGGAATGGCAGCCACGGCCACATTAACCTGTAGAGCTTGAAATAGCCCTGAAGGCAGGCCCTGCGGCCCTGTCCCGTGGGCGACAAAGGGGACGCGTGAGCCACAGCGTCTCCAGGAGACACCTCCCATCTGCCCAGACACAGACTCACCCCCCACGAGCCTTAAGACCCTAACACCCTAGTCCTGAGAGCATTACCTCGTCACCGCTGATGCTGTGCCCTCTGGCGTGTATCTGTTTGTGTATTTAGCTGTGTCTGCCTTGTTCCTAAAGCTGTATGTGATTCCACGTGTCATCTGGTTACGGGAGTCAGACCTTCGGGGAGGCAGCCCTGGCTACAGGCGGCCTTGCCCCGCACAGAGTGGGCATCTGCCGTCGGTGGGGAGGGCAGCCCAGTGTCCAGTGTCAGCCCGGCCTTGGATAAGCCCTGATGTCTTCACCCCCACCCAGGACCTCAGCCTCCTAAAGGCAGGCCATCCTGGGTCCTTGCCGGGGCCCCTGCGGGGGCACCCACACCCTGGGCTGCAGGGTTCAGCCTCCGGCCTGTGCAGTTGCCCCGCCGCAGCGCCCCAGCCCTGCCCTGCTCGGAGGCCAGCTGGGGTGGGCTGGGCAGGGCGCGCCGAGTGCCCCCCGAGGCATCGTTCATGTCCAGGGAGTGTGGGCACACCACAGACACAGCACTGCAGGGTCTCGGCCGGCAGAGCAGGGCAGGCGGGAAGGGACAGCAGAGAGGGTGACTGAGGCCCCGCGTGTTTCCGCGAGGCGGCTGTTCCGCATCTGCACTGCGCCCCAAGCACGGCCTCTCTGTGTGTGTTAGTGTTTAGGGATGTTAGTGGGCCAGCCACATTTCACATGCAACGACGCGTTAGATTTCCTGGGGGGTCACCCTCCTCTCGGCCGTGGTGGCCCATCGCCCCTAGAGACAGGTGTTTGGCTGGGGATTTGTAAGAACAGTAGGGGTGAGGGGGTGGGCCATCACCTTCCAGACAAACGTGTCACCTGGATTTTCCAATGCACCTGGGCCATCCACAGCCAGGCCAGGGCCACGTGGCCTCACCTGGGGTGTCGGTGACATGGTGCGAGCAGTGTGAACCTGCCAGCATCACGCACCTGAGGGCACCCCTGTCAGGCACCATCTGAGCACCCCGTGTGTACCTGGCAGCTCCTGAGCCGTGTGCCGTGTGGCCTCTGAGTATCCTCGCCTGGACACTGCCCGTGTGCCTGTGACGTGTGCGTGTCTGTGACTGTGTACAGCTGAGTGTGCGTGGGTGTCGTGCATGTGTGCACTGCATGTGCGTACGTATACGTGTGTGTGCCTGTGACGTGTGCGTGTCTGTGACTGTACAGCTGAGTGTGTGTGCGTGTCATGCATGTGTGCACTGCATGTGCGTACATATATGTGTGTGTGCCTGTGACGTGTGCATGTCTGTGACTGTGTACAGCTGAGTGTGCGTGGGTGTCGTGCATGTGTGCACTGCATGTGCGTACGTATACGTGTGTGTGCGTGTCTGTGGGAGGCAGAAGGGAGCACGGCTGGCCGGCATGATGAGGGCCGCCCAAGCCCCCACCGTCCCCGTCCTGTAACCTCTGGTTTTTGCAGTGTGGCCTGCCCTGCACAGGCCCTGAGGGAGGGTGGGAGGGTTTCACCCGATCTCTGATGCAAGATGTCAGCATGTGGCACTGGGGACAGAGACCATGGACTCACCATGGTTTCACGAGGGTGCGTTGGGTGAACTCCTGGCCGGATGTGTGTGGGGGGCAGCGTTTCCTGTCTGGAGGCCAGCGGCCTGAGCCAGCCAGGTGAAGAGGACAGGCCTCAGGCGCGACAGCTGCCCTGGCTTCTCTGCCAGGGTCCTGGGAGGGGGCCACAGCCGTCCTCACTGGAGAAAAGCGGCCCCTCCCTCTGGCCAGGCCACCAAGACCCTCCACGGGCGGCCCTGGACGGGCGTCTGGCTGCGGGGCCAGGTGGGCGGGCAGCTGGTCTGAAGGCCCGAGCACTCAGCCTGCATCTGCTCCTGTTTGCAGGTCAGCTGGCCGCCGGCACCTGTGAGATCGTCACCCTGGACCGGGACAGCAGCCAGCCACGGAGGACGATCGCCCGACAGACAGCGCGCTGCGCATGCAGAAAGGGACAGATCGCTGGCACCACGAGGGCCCGGCCCGCCTGTGTGGACGGTAAGCACTGCACCCTGGAAGGCCCCCGGGCCGCCGAAGCCTCAGGCTGGCTGAGGTGTCTGTGTGGCTCCTCATGGGGCAGTGGAGGCGCACACACAGGGTGGGGATAGTTTCAGGGGCGTGGTGGATGGGGGGTCCTAAGGTCTCCAGGCTCCTGTGGATGCAGGCGCCCAGTTAGCAGGTGTGCCGCCGTGGTTACAAGCTCGACTGTTAACCAAAGGGTCATCAGTTGGAATCCACCAGCCGCTCCTTGGAAACCTTACGGGGCAGTTCTGCTCTCTCCTATAGGGTCGCTGTGAGTCAGAATCAACTTGACTGCATTGTATTTGGTTTTTTTTGGCTTTGCCCCGGCCCAGAGGCTGCAGGCCTGAGAGTGTGTTGGTGAGGAGGAAGGGGCAGAGGTGGTACCCTCTGAGGGCTGCTGTGCCCACGGCTCTGGGCTGGGTTGCAAGGTGTCCACATCACCCTCTGGTCTGTCCAGTGTCCACCCCCACATGTCCCCACTCGACAGAGCACAGCTGGGTCTGTCACCCGGCTCCCTGGTGAGCTGGTGGGCCTGGGTGATTGGTGGTGGTGCCCACCTGCCTCGCCCCAGGGTCAGGCCAGGACAGACTTGCCACCTGACCCTCGCCGTTCTGATGGGCAGGAGGGAGGGTGTCCTAGCGGGCAGCGCTGGGGCTCACCACGGCCTCTGAAGGAAGGCAGAGGCCATTGAGAAGGGGTGCAGAGTCCTGTTTGGGGTGATGGAAGGTTTGGAAGGGGATGGTGGTGAGGGTTGCACAGTATGGCAGTTAACGCACCCAATTTGTGCCCTGAAAACGGTCAGGGTGATGGACTTTGTTTTATTTAATAGGCCTGGTGGCGCAGTGATTAAGAGCTCAGCTGCTAACCGAAAGGTCGGCAGTTCGAATCCACCAGCTGCTCCTTGGAAACCCTAAGGGGCAGTTCTCCTCTGTCCTGTGGGTCTCTATGAGTCGGAATTGGTTCGAAAGCAGTGGGTTTACGAGTTTGGTTTTTTTCTTTTTGTTTTTGGTACGTGCATTTTAAAGGCGTCCTGGTGGCGCAACGGTTAAGCGCTCGGCTGCCAACTGAAAAGGTGGGCGGTTTGAACCCAGCCAGCAGCTCCTTGGGAGAAAGACCTGGTGATCTGCTCCTGTAAAGATCGCAGCCTGGGAAATCTTATGGGGCAGTTCTCCTCTGTCACACGGGTCGTTATGAGTCGGAATCAGCGTGACAGCACTCAACAGCAACATATGCATTTACAAATTTAAAAAAAAGAACGAAAAAACTCGAAGGTTAAAACAAACCCGAGAAGGAGGCAAAGCCCCACAGTGGCTGGAGTGGCGTCTGGAGGGGCAGGTCCCTGGTGGAGAGGCCACATGTGAGCCAAGTGTTAGAGCTTGGCCGTGACCACCGCCAGGCGTAAGCTGAGACCTGGGAGCCCCCGGGGAAGGGCATCCCCAGGTGACACTGTGGCCAGGGGACAGCGTCAGCCCCAGTGAGACTGACTGGGGCAGCAGTGGAGCAAGCCAGACCCCACCTGGGGCCCGGGGCTGACCACGGCAGGCGGGGGGCTCGGGGGCTGTGACCACGGTAGGCAATGCCCAGGACAGGGGCATGGACATTCAGAGCCTGCCTCGGGGCCCAGGACAGGGGCGTAGACGGGCAGAGTCTGCCCCAGGACCCAGGACAGAGACTAGCCCACTGGCCTCCAACAGGAAGGGAAAGGGGTCAGCGAGGGTGGCCTTGGGCTCCTGGCTGGAGGGAGGAGACCCAGCCAGGCCTCCACCCACAGCCCTGCCTAGCCACAGACCTCGTGCCACCTTGAGGCTGAGTTCACCGCACCCCGCCCCCCACAGGCGGGGTGCCCAGGAGGAGTTACCCTGAAGTCTGACCCCCGGGCTCAAGGCTCCGGCTGCCCCACCCTAGCTCCTCTGTTGCTTCTTCTGGGGACCCCACAGCCACATGCCACCTACCATGGTCCACCCCAGCCCTGAGCGCCCCAGAAACCCAGGCGCCTCTGGGAGCACCGGGCACTTGGGGATTCAGGAAAAGCAGGTGGAGCAGCCCTGCCTGGAGGGCGAGGCTCACGCTCATGCACCTTGACAAACTGTCCCGTTTAAGGAGCCTGTTTTCTGTCCTTATTAGAAACATCTGTCCCGCGCTCCCACACCGGCATCTGATTAAGCCTCCACCTACGTGGGTACCGCAGGCCTGCCCCGTTGGTTCCGGACTCCACTCCCCAGAATCCGCTTCCGGGTGCATTGGGCCAAGGGGACAGCACCCCTCCCCACTGCTGCGTTGGAGCATACGCGCGTGGTGGGAGTGTGCCCTGGTGGGTGACAGCAGGTGACTGAAGCCTCTTTTCCCTGGGCCCAGAGACCCAAACTAAAACCTCGTCGTTTTCCGGGGAGGCCAAACAAACGTTAGCTGGTGTTTTTTGCACAGTGGGCGTTTTCTGGGCTGCCGTCTAGTTTAATTTTTGCTGTTCCGTGTTCTTGCTCTGTGTGCATGAATTGTGTCTCTGGGTGGGATGGAATTTAAAGAGAGCCAGGTTTACATTGGGACGGTTTGTGCCACCCCCCCCAGGGACTGTGAATGTGGGAACTTGAGATAATAGAGCCAGCTCGCGTCTGTGCGCCTACTTGTCTGGTTATTAATTGGCTTACTGGTTGTTCATTCATTCATTCACTCATTCATTCATTCGAATAAAGCATAGGCTCGGGTGTAGGAGAGTTAAAAGGGGAGATTGACTCTTAAAATACACAATGCATTTTGCTGTGCATCATCGTGGGTACTGGGGCTGAGATCGTGGTGCAAGACCCAGAACACAGCTGCCTCTTCCGGCCCGGGATTTTGGCAAGGTTGCATCAACCAGGGGGCAGTTTGAGTAGGGTTTTGAGGGGTGAAGAGGAGTTCATCAGACAAGCTTTGGTAGTGAGAGGAGAACATTAGGCCTTTGACTCCTTGGCCTTGTCTCCACACCTAAGCGTTTTTGATGAACAACTTCCCAGCCAGGACGCAGCCACACCACAACTCACAACTGATGTCAGAGTCTTTCCAACCAGGGAAAAGGCTCTAAACTGAACCCCAGACTCTGGCTCAGGAGTTAGTGTCCTTACACACAAATACCATCGGACAGCCTTACCTCAGGGCAGGTACAGCCTCGCATGCCCCGCTAATGTCCAGACGGGCTGGCCCCCGCCACTTACTGGCTGCTAATGTAGATTGAGATTCCCTTTTTGGAGGACCAGCAGACACTGCCCCGAGATGCGGCCCTGCCTGGCGCGTGGCTGAGTCGGCCGCAGACAGTGCTCCCTCCGTGAAGCGAGGTGTCTCATAAATTTCTGTAGATTAAAGTTCTTCGACAAGCCGAGGTCACCAAGGCCAGCAAGCGTCAGCAGGTCGATCCTGACTAATGGAGACCCCACGTGTGTCAGAGTAGAACTGTGCTCCATAGAGTTTTCAAAGGCTGATTTTTTTTAAAGCAGATCACCAGGCCTTTCTTCCAAAGCACCTCTGGGTGGACACCAACCTCCAAGTTTTCAGATGGCTAGTGAGCATATTACCTGCACCACCCAGGGACTCCAAAAAAGTTGCCGTCGAGTCAGCTCCAGCTCATGTGGCCCCACGTGTGTCAGAGTCGAGCTGCCCTCCATAGCGTGTTCAGTGGCTGCGTTTTCAAAAGCAGGTCACCAGGCTGATGATGAATCTGGTCCCAGCTAATGTGTTTTGAGGTGTTTAGATAATCACTAGCCTTCAACAAATTGTTGGGCTGTGGGTCATGGGCCAGGCTTGTGGGGGGCACTGTGGGCTGGGCACACACGGGCAGTACATGCTGCCCTCTCTGTGGCCCGCTGCCCCATGCTCCCCCTCCTGTCCTCTTGCCCTGCTCCAGCTTCCTAGTCCCCCCTCCCCGGGGCCCCCAGAGCCACGTCCAGCTGCTGTCACCAGAGACATGGTGGGGACCCTGTTTCTGGGTGATGGTCGACCCCACTGAGTCCCTGATTTTTGCACCCTGTGTCCGGATCCCACCGCCCACAGAGAAGAGAGAGGAAAGCAGAGGGGAGAGTTGGCCTGCAGAACCATGATGGGGAGATGCGTGGCTTTCCCAACACACAGACCCTGCTTCCTGTCCCTCTGGCCAAGGTCCGCTAGGCCTCCAGGCCTGCAGGGCTGTGAGAAAGGCTGGACCAGCCTCTGCCACTGGACAGTTCACCTCAAGGGCCTGGCGTCCTTTCCCCGGAGTGGGCGGAGGGACAGCAGCCTCCTGGCCTGGGCCACGTGCTGCCAGGTGCCTGGGCATCAGGCCCGGCCTTCACCCTCCTGTCACTGGGGTTGGGGGGAGGCAGGGTGGACAGGATGGCAGGCAGTGGGGTGTGGACACCCTCCTCCTGCCACTTCCTGAGGCCTGCGACCTGGGGGTGCTGAGCCTCCTCAGCCAAGGTCACGGGCGACAGAACCCCACAGACGAGCACAGGCTGCTGGGGTGTTTGCTGGAACGCCCCGGGGCACACTGCCATCATGACAGGTGAGCAGCCAGGCCTGCTCAGCCCGACCCGTGCTCGCTCCCGCCCAACCTGCAGGCATTGACTCAGGCCCCCGAGTGTCCTTGCTGAGGGGAGGACACACGAGCCCGGTGCCTCTTGGACACGGGGCGCCCATGGCCACCCTAGCCAGTGTGTCCTCACCGCGGATGTGGACTTGTCTCCTGGCTCAGAAAGGTCCGGAGATTCCAGAGGCCTCTGGCCGATGTGGCAGCCCCCAGGCCCTCCGTTGTGCTGGGTCCCCTCTCTGAGCCAAGTGGGCAGACAGGGAGTGCACCTGGCCGCCTCTGCCACGTCTGATCATGGCGGGAGCTGGGAAGACACTCATATTGCTCATATTATGTCGCTACCGCTGGAGGCCTTTTGGCTGCTGAATTTGTGCTGGAGCCAGGGTGTGTGTTATAAACTCCGGGAACTTGGGAGATGCTGGGAGAAGCTGAGGACGCACTGCCT